TACATTTAATGGGGCTAGCAAATTGAGTAAGCACCATCTCATAAAATGTCTGAAAATAGGAAAAAACTTCACTTTTGGTCCGGACTCTAGAGCAAGTAAACCCAAGTCACACGAGAATAGCAATCAATGAAAGTGACAAAACACCGATGACCAAAGACAGACAAAATTATATATTAAGTGTGTGAGATACCAGAGTGACGGGCTGAGGCGAAGCAGGGCGATGACGACAGAGAGAGGCGATGACGACGAGGGCGATGACGGCTGGAGGAGATCGACGGACTGAGGCAGGAAGACGAAGCAGACGAAGAGACGAGTAGATGAAGCAGACGACCAGACGAAGACGAAGCAGACGAAGACGATCTAGACGAAGACGAAGACGACAGAGGATGGCTGGAGGAGATCGACCCAGCAGATGATCCAACTAGGTTCGTTTTGAACCCTAACCCTAGAGGTGTAGCTCTGATACCATGAAGCTTGGGTAACCAGCTTGGGGAATGATAGAATATCACCCCCTATTTATAGATGATGATTAGGGTTTACAAGAAAGGCAATTTATAAGATGATCCCTGAGTGCTATCCCTGAGTGCATAAAATGATTACAGACAGACCCTAGTGTACCTTTCGGCTAATATAATATGCTAACATGTATATCCTCTTCTCTCCCTCCTTACTATCTAGTCTAGTGTATAGGTCATCATAAGCTTTTAACTTAGCCTCTCTCACTACTTTTTTGACCTATTTATTGGCCTATCTATAGTGCTTAAGGTTTTTCTTAGTTCTATCATTCTGCCACTTTTTAAAGTTTTTTTTTTTTTTACTACTTGGACCTCCTCTATCCACCACCAAGTTTTCTTAAAGTTGGGTCCCTTTTCTTTCGGCTCTCCAAGAACTTCCCTTGAGATTCTCCTCATACAATTGGCCATCAAGATCCACATAGTGTTAGCATTATCTTCCAAGTCCCAAGTACCTTCTTTATCTATTTTATTCTTAAATGTGTCTAGTTTATTTCCTTTTAGGTCCCACCATCTAGTCCTATGATGCCCACTATCTTTCTGAGCTTGGTATTGCCCTTTAGAGCATAAATGTAGTACCAAAATCTTATGTTGAGACGTCAGGCTTTTTCCAGGAATCACTTTACAACCATTGCATTTTAGACGGTTCCCTTTTCTTAAGTAATCTATTTGGCTCCTAATTGACCAAATATTGAAGGTTATCAAATGTTCCTCTCTTCTTATACATAGTATTGGCCACCACTAGATCAGAAGCCAACGTAAAATCTAAAATACTCTCTCTAGTCTCATTTCTATCACCAAAATCATACCCATCATGCACCCTCTCATAACCTAGTTTATCTACTCCTACATGGCCATTGAAATCACCACCTATAACTAGGTTGTCTCCTACGGGTATCTCCTGTAATACCTCATCTATTTGGTCCCAAAAAACTTTCTTAGTTTGATCATCTAATCCTACTTAGGGGGCGTATGCGCTAATAATGTTCATTATATTTTTTCCAATAACTAGTTTAACAAATATAATCCTATCACCTTTTCTAATGATCACAACTACATTTTCTCCAAGACCCTTGGCAACTATTATTCCTACCCCATTCCTGTGTCTATTCTTGCCACTATAATATAGTTTAAAACTAGTATCCTCTATTTCTCGAGTTTTTTCATCCGTCTACTTACTTTCTTGTACACAAGCTATACTAGCTCTCCTCCTAATCATGACATCTACTAATTCCATAGTCTTATCAGTCAAAGTTTCTATATTTCATGTGGCTATCCTAAATCTATAATCATGGACTAACTTCTTTATCTGCGCTCGTCCAGAAAAACGTAGAAACCTTTGTCCATTTTTCACAACACCCATGCGTCGATACGGCACTACTTGCTCACTTTTCGAAGCACTTGGAGGCAGGCGCAAGGGGATTAACCTAGCATTTAATCGAAAATGAAAAGATATATCCAAGTTGAGGAAAGCAATAGTTTGAATAATGTCAAATGAAAAGGTGTCTGTTTTGAATGCCAGTTAATCAGATCTTACCCAAGTGATAACTGACTCTAACATGCAAATAACCCAAAATTTAGATCAATTCAAAATGAGCATCGCTTTTGTATTGGGCCCTGCTATTAGTTTATAGTTCTAGTGTCCAGAAGAAAACTTGGTCGATATGGTAATATGTAAGATTTTGTAAGTGTATTTTGAGAAGTCGTATAAAGTCGACCCCATTTTATGGGATTTAAGGCTTGATTTGGTTTGGTTTATTTTGAGAAGTCACATAAGTTTTAAAATGTCAAAGGCACTTGATGCAATTCACAAGAAGAGCAAGAAAAAGTAAAGTTAAAGAAGTGACAATATTTGGAAATTGTCATGGTTTCAAGCTACCGGTGTTATTAGTCTTATTTTATGATTATTTTATGCTTTGCTAAAGTTTTAGGTCAAAGAGTATTTTGGTAATTTTCATTATTGTTGTCATGGGTTGTAGGGGCCGCCCCATGGGTCGTCTTGTGGGTCAAGTTATTTAATTAGTTTTTTTTTTAAAAAAAAATTCTTATTTGTTCTTAAATTGGTTTTGGAAGTGAAAGTCGGTGTTTTAAAAAGCAATAGGCTCATTGAGGCGCTAAGATCTTCTGGAGCTTAAGCGTGAGGCGCAAGTTGTTGAAGATAATTAAAATATTAATATAGGTGAAGTTTTTAACATAAAACGAATATTCTTAGAATTTAAAAAAAATAGAAAAAAAAGAACGACATTTAATATTCCAAAAATAATGAAAAATAGCATTCAACGTTTCAAAATTTTCTCAAAATAACATTTAATCTTACGTTGCCCTATACTATTTTTTTTTTCTTTATCAATTTATTAACGTGATTCATTTCTTTTTTAAGATAAGGAACTCACAGCATATAATACTTTAGTGGTTTTAATTTTAAATCTGGACCAAATTGCCTGATAGCTTTAATCATTGGCCCGAAACTATTGTAATTTACCACATTGAAAGGATTCCTAAAGTCATATATCTATCTTGCAATCTCAGAATTTTTACTTAATGCCTAGAGCTTTTTTGATATGAAAATTGGGGCTTAAAGCATGTGTTTAAATTTTATATTAAAAGGGTTGTAATTCCATATGGTTATACACACAAAGAATAAGGATGGAGAACAAATTTAAATGAAGCGCATGAGGCATGCGCCTCGCGCCTAAGTCTAAGGCGCATGCCTCAAATGCGCCTTTCCTACTGCGCCTCGTCTCAACCTGTTTGAGGCGCCTCAGGTGAGCCTTGTGTCTAAGCGTGCCTTTTAAAACACCGGTTTTAGTAGTTTCCTTTTTTTATTCTAGTTGGTTTAGGAAGTTTCCTAGTTCTATATAAAGTCGTGTAATACTTCTAATTAAATAGAGTAAATATTTGAGAGAATTTTAAGAGTTTTGAAGCATTTTTACGGATTGTGTGATGCAATTAAACCTTAGGTGTGATGCCTAAGACCTTTCCAGGAGTGATTCCTAGAAACTACTATCTTCTTATTTACTGTCTTGCCCTCATTTATTTTCTGGACTTTAACAGCCCAAATACTGTTCATGGGTACTGTTCACAATCTCTAAACAGTGCCAAAATCTTATCTTTTCATGTTTAAAGAAACCCTACTTTTCCTCTATACTCTTATTGCAATTTCAGCCATAAAACCTGCTTAAAATCAGCCCCAAAGCTCTCTATTCCTACTTGTCCTGCATCATCACTTCATGGGTAGTATAATGCAAGTGTGTCCATCAACAAATCTAAAATATGTATACATACCTTAGTTATTAGTAGAGATGTGTTAAAGCTACATAAGTACGATAGAGTATGTGCATCGCTAACATGGTTGTTTAAATTGTATGATTCACAATTTGATTTATATGATTTGATATGAGTTTTAACAAAAACGATTTGAATCGTATTGTTGAATCGGAAATTGAGTGAATCGTTACGATTCACTATGATTCAGTACTATTTTTATTTTTGTTTACATAATGCATGAAATAGCGTTGTTTTCACCAAACTATGAAGATATGTTGAAGACATTAATTAATTATATTGATATACCTGATTTTATATGTATGTATATAAATATATAATTTAGTCATATTGATAATTTACTTAATTCTAAACACTGTTTGAATTTTTATATGTATATAATTATATACTATATTAAATAAAGTGAATCTTACGATTCACTATTCACTATTCACTATTTTAGCAAAACGATTCACAATTTGATTCGCAATTTGACAACAATGATCGCTGCAAACTTGACTATAATATATAACATCATTGTTGCTACATTTTTACTACTAGTAATTTCAATGCAAAGATTGTCATGCCCAAGTAACCACATTCTATAGCATATGAATTATGAAGCATCAGAAAAATGATCTTTACTTTTGGCTATTTCATACTACCAAGTGAGATCATGTCAGCCGGCATTTCAAAAATGTAAACAAGAAAGAGAATGGCCATATTGTAAACAGTTGTCTCTGATCCTAAAGTAACAGTAAGGAAAACCAAATAAAAAAAAAAGAAGGAATTGAAGAATCCTGTTATACACATGATCAGATCGTGGCTCGAGCTCACAAGTACACCAAACTGACCAGGTGATCTTCTGAAGTGTTTCACATTATAACATTGAAATACAAGAAGAAGAAGCATTATTTTAATAAGCAATTGCAAAGAAATGATAATCAGAAACTCAGAAACTAGCTCATGTACGCACCCCTTTGACTCCTTGCAAAACAATGGATCAGAAAGCCAAGTTTCATCAATAAGTAAACTAGGAGATAGCATCTTTCGGTTGCATACAATGTGTGTTATCTTATCATACACCACCACTGATATATATATATATATATAACAAATATTTATTCAAATTACTGATTATTATAGTAATGCTGTTCTGGATTTTTTCTGTAATCTTGAGTTGTTTTCTCTAATAAATATGTATTTTTTGCATTTTATGAGCAGGTAATATTTGACTTCCGCTTTCTGGCACTTTTGGCTGTTGGGGGTTCATTGGCTGGTTCTTTGCTGTGCTTTCTAAATGTAATGTCTCTTAACCTGTATAATTTTTTCAATTGTACCTTTGTATTTTGTGGTTGAAGGTGAGATCAGATGTCTGATCAGTTTTGTCCTTTTTTATTTGGTTCTTTCCAGTCTTTTGTAAATTTGTTTTCAGTTGAATACATGGAAAGTGTCTCTTATAGCTTATTCACTGAATGCAAATTCTTATGGTTGGTTGATGTAGGACGAGTTGGGATTACTTTCCTACAAGTAGTGGGCCCGGCTTAAGTATACTGACAATAGCAACAATAGACTTATAGGGCTGAATTTGGTGGGATTTTGTAGCTGCAAAAGTACTTAAAAAATAGGAGTTTAAGGGTTTGTAAAAGGGTAGGGTTTTGGGAATGAAAACATGAGTGTTTAGGGGCTGTTGGGTGGCTGTTCTAAGCACTGTGAACAGTGACGTGAGCAGTACTCTTGCTGGATAGAAGAAGAGGAGAGAGAGAGAGAGAGAGAGAGAGAGAGGTGCTTCACCCTCACAAGGGATGGGCCAATCACACGAACACAATCTCAAATTTTCATATATTAACTCTCCTCAATCACTGAATTACACATATATTTATAGGTTAAAGACTCTCCTAATTCTATAAGAACTATAACTCAAATTTATAAATGAAAAATATTTAACAACTACTAATATTTTAGACCAATCGTGACTTCCAATTCTACCTCAATTATAATGGAAAACTTTAATGACTTTTAATTCTACTTTAATATCAAAATATGAAACTTGGACTTTTGACCACTAAGATTATTTTAGACATAATAAAACCCATATATAATAACCCATTTAATAACGTGACCGAAAATAAAACCCACGGGTTACATCAATGTCTGACAATTATTGGAATTACCATTATACCCTTAATTACTAAAACGTACTATAATGACATGAAGACTCAATATTATTCCAAATCTTTAATTCTTGATGCCCTAAATGTACTTCATATGAAATTTTAGATTTGCTCTTTTTCTTCTTTTCATGATCTTCATCATTCTCCCTTGCATTTGAAAAAACTCGACCTTGAGTTTTATAATGTTGAAGTATAAGGATTATGGAATCTTGCACTTGCAACCATTCAAATTGATTGTTTTGAATGAATGATGAGAAAATCAAATTCAATGTTGTCATCACTCCGTTGATCACATCAAATTTATTAGGAATAATAAACTTAATGTGAACTTGATTTTTCTCATGAAGAGTAAAAAGTTCAGTTGCATTCACATCATTTTCTTTGGCTTCCTTGCCTTTTAGATCTTGATCATGACGATCTTTCATGCTTTCTTTAGTAAGCAAATTAATTTTTGCCTTTGTTTCTTCAATATCCTCAATATTAGCAACATGTTCATCTTGCTTTTTTATAGTTTCTTCAAAATCTTCTACACTAACAACCTTTTACTCTTGGATATTAGTCTTCTGTAAAACAGCAGCCAACAATCCTTCCATGGAAGTTTTCAATCCATTCAAAGTTGTCTTGATAGTATGCACATCACTCTTTATTATTGCAACATCCTCCTTAATTATCGCAAAATCCTCCTTTAACATCGTAGCATCTTTGTTAGTAGCTCTATAATTTGTTGACAAGGTTTCAAACTTCCAATTTAATTCGATGCTTGTCAACGTTGTTATAAAGAAAGAAGTTTCATCAAAAGATTGGTAAGGAACAATGTAAGATCTTGAAGCTCTGATACCAAACTGATGTAGGACAAGTAGGGATTGCTTTCTTACAAGTAGTGAGCCCGGTTTAAGTATACTGGCAGCAGCAGCAACAATAGACATATATGGCTAGATTTGGTGGGATTTTATGACTGCAAAATTATTTAAAAAATAGCGGTATAAGGGTTTGTAAAAGGGTAGGGTTTTGGAAATGAAAACACTAGTGTTTAGGGGCTATCGGGTGGCTGTTCTAAGCACTGTGAACAGTGACGTGAACAGTAATCTTGCTGGATAGAAGTAGTGGAGAGAGAGAGAGAGAGAGAGAGAGGTGCTTCACCCTCACAAGGGATAGGCCAATCACACAAACACAATCTCAAATTTTCATAATATTAACTCTTCCTCTCAATCATTGAATTACACATATTTATAGGCTAAAGACTCCTAATTCTATAAGGACTATAACTCAAATCTAGAAGCTACAAATATTTAGCAACTACTAATATTTTAGACCAACTGTAACTTCCAATTGTACTTCAATCATACTAGAAAATTTTAATGACTTTCAATTCTATTTCAATATCAAAATAGGAAATTTGGATTTTTGACCATTAAGATTGTTTTAGATATAATAATACACATATATAATAACCCATTTAATAACTTTACCCAAAATAAAACCCATGGGTGACCCTACAACCCATGTCCAACAATTATTTGAATTACCATTATACCCTTAATTAATAAAATCCACTATAATCACATGAGGACTCAAAATTATTCTAAATCTTTAATTCTTGATGTCCTAAATGTGCTTCATGTGAAATTCCAGATTTGCTCTTTTTCTTCTTTCCACGATCTTCATCATTGGTCATTGTACTTGGAAAACCATTATCAAAATGCAGAGATGAATGCAGTGTCAGAGATGTTCCTGTAGTGGAATTGTTTTCGCTATGATTATTTGTTTGTTATGTACATTTGTTTCTTTTTTGTTTGTTATGTACATTTGTTTCAAACAAGCCAGAAGAAAATATAAAATTTTGTTTAGTAGAAATGTTGGGCTTCGTTAGTTATGACTGACTTTCAAAGGATATCAGAATGCTTCTGTTGCTAAATGTTGTATACATTTATCATTAAGCTGTAACACTAGAATAAGCTAAGATATCTTCGCCATTATCTGCATACTATTATTTAGTAAAGACATGTATATTGCATTATCAGTAGAAAAGGTGCAAATTTTCAGTGGTGTGTTCTGGATTGGACACAAGTTGAATAGTCCAGGTCTCCTTGATCACGTGTCAAGTTTCAATTCCCATTCCCTGTGTGTTTGTGCTCGTATCTCTTACCTGGTTTGGATTTTTTCAAACTCATTGCTTCTATTTCTGTTGTAGGGTTGTGTTTACATTGTTGATGCGTACAAAGTTTACTGGTCAAGCTGTGTCAAAGGAATACACACTGGACAGATGGTACTGCGATTAGTTGAAGCTATTGGTGAGATTCTGAATTGCTGTTAAGAGACCTTCTATCTAGTCAATAGCATACGTAATCCTGTTGACTAAGTACATGTTTAATGAGGTACCTTGAATTGTAGTGCAGACTTACTAAGCCTCTGATCAGTTGCTTGTTAGTAATTTCTAAGAAGAGAAGAATTAACCAATGTAGGATGAAATTTTTCATCAAACCACAAGGAGACCTGTCTTTTTACCAGTGGAGATTCTTTGTAGCGTTTGTTGCCCCATCATAACTTTTTTCTTATCATAGATAATGCCTTCTAATTTTTCTTTCGCGGCCTACAGTCCTACTCTAATTTCTCCATGTTATTTCTCTATTTTGGAATAGTTTTGTTTTTTGTTGTTTCCTTGTCTATACTAATTTGAGAATATGCTTTATTGGTTTATAGGAATGGTCAATTATAAAAATTTATTAAAAGGAAAGGGTAACAAATTATTTAGATGAAATTAATATTAGTTGGCTTCTTCTAGTTTAGAATTTTGGTAGATACATTTTGATGGTTTCTTTAGACCTCTATTTGGAGGTTCATCTATGTCCAGTATGAAGCATAGCCTGGCAGGCAGTGTTTTGGGAAGTTGAGTTTTGGCTAAAATAGCCAATAAAAACAAAATAAGTTAAAATAGCCAATAAGACAAAATGTCACATTCAAATTATAATCATTTCACTTTTTCTCTCACAACCATCAAATCAATTACAAAAAAAAGTCACCTATCATCTCAAACCCAACTTTTTTGGCTAGGCTAAAATAGTTAAAAAGCGAACTAAAATAGCCAAGTTCCCCCTTGCTTTTCCCCCGCCATGTGAGTGGTGAACTGATTCACCTTTGAGGGCTAGATTGACTTGCAAAATATTCGATGTTATACTACTTTTGGTCTCATAATCACCTGCATTATGTAATAGAAGAATATGATATGAAGGATATGCTATGCTGGAATGGTTTATATCAGTCAATCTACAGAAAGTTCTTCGGACAACAAATTGCTCCAAAAACTTAAGCTATTGGGGGTAGGCTCAACAATAAATATCAAGCTCTTATGCTCTTTCTCTAGCGTGAAATTTTTTTTGATGTCGGGAGACAGAGTAGCACACAAAATGAACTGAACTTGGTGAATACACACCTTGGAAAGAGTTCACATTGTCATACATAACAGCCAACAGTAGTATCTCATGGGAGTTTTGAACTTGTAACCTATTTGAAGCAAAGCTGTGATAACATGTATATCAGGCTCTTTCTGATGTGATATTGAATTTCTCTCTGAGTGCAGATGTATATCTTGCTGGGACTGTCATGTTAATATTTGGCATGGGCTTGTATGGACTATTTATCAGTAATGTACCTCCTGATTCACCTCCAACTGTTGATCGTGCTCTCGAGGGCTCTTCCTTGTTTGGGATGTTTTCCTTAAAGGTAGTAACTGTTTGATCCAGTTAAATTTCTTTTTATTTAGACAACATTGGTTGTATGCATCATCTCTTGTTTATTAACTTCCATTTACATTTTGCAATCTATTTATCAAGGAAAGTCAAAAACTAATTGGAAAATTGAATCCAACTGTTTTAAGGCTGGGATTTTAGCTGAGCACTCCAGAATTTGTTTTGATCTCTTATTGGTAGTGGACCAAAACCCTCAGAGGCCATAGTGGCTGCAATGTGGATGTGTTTTTCAGGTGTGTGGAGATGAGTGAAGTCCCACACCGCTTGAGTACTAAAGTAATATGAGCAATGCCTACATCGCCTGAATTTTGGCTTGTCGGTCGTCCGCCCGGTCATCTGGCAACAAGGTGACAGCCGCGGTAGACAAGGCTAACAACCGCGGTAGACAAGTGTTTCACCGGTTATCTGGCCGGTCGACTGGCATGCACAAATTCGGGCGTTCGGGCAAACTCAAATTCAAGCTACCAATCATTTTCAAAGTAATATTAGGCATATAAGCGTGAGAGCACCCTCACCTTAATAGTTAACTTTTGGGGTGAGTTCTACCAAAGACCGTGTAACATGGCATCAGAGCCAGAGTACTCAAGGATGGGTAGGGTGCGTGTCCTTGGCCTGCACATCGCAAGTGCTGCCGAGTGAGCACACTGGGCGTGAGGGAGGGCGTGAACCCGCAGATGCTACCAAGTGAGCACGTTGGGTGTGAGGGAGGATGTGAAGCGAAGTCTTACATCGCCTGAGTACTAAAGTGCTATTAAACATATAAGCGTGAGGGCACCCTCACCTTAATAGCTAGCATTTGGGGTGAGTTCTATGCAAGACCGTGTAACAATGCACACATGTCTTTGTCTTAAATTGGAGAACGTTGTCTAGTGAAGGTCGCTCTCTCTCAAATTGGTTAAGGTTTAGATCTTTTGAACAAGAGGGAAGACTGCCTTGACTAAACTCAATTCTATCCAATGAACCACATAACCTTGGAGGTCCCGCACAAGAGTCATGTGGTCTCTCATACACCCATGACCGTGGCTCCAACCTGGAGGGGGGTCCCTACTCCAACTTAGGCTGGCATAAGTGCATCAGGGTGCCTTCTGAAGATAACTTGGGAGAGATGAAACTCAAGCACAGGAGGGACACACTTGGGTGGACAATTGCTTGGCCAAGTCAGGCATACCGAGCGTGTCGCTGGTGGGAGAGGCGATGCACTCAAGCAGAGGTTTGCTTGGCCGAGCCAAGGGATGCGTCGATCAAATTTGGTGGTGCCTAAGAGATTTTCAGCTCGCTGGCTCAAGTCTAAGGCACTGGGTAACTTAGACTTGGTCCGTGTGACTCAAGCCCGGAGGGGATTATGTTGAGATATCTGATTGGTCCCTGTGATGCCTTGCCAGGCCAACACATGGGTTTCAAGTTCATGGAGATGATGACATGGAGATGATGTATTGTGCTATGTAGGATATCTGGATACAAGTAGCCACATCCCTCTACTCATTCTTCCATTTAGCAAGCTATTGACCTCATAAATGGGCACTGCATGTTGTTTAGACTCGATGAACATTTTAAAGCACTGGGAACTATGAATTCTCTCTATAAATTCAACCAAGTTCATCTTGTAGTTAACTATAAAGTGCCTCATTATTTGTCAGGAAAAAAAAGAAAATAAAAAGAAAAACTATAAAGTGCCTCACTGAAAAGTGATTAAACAATATTCCTTTCGGTTCCATTGTGGTGATGGTCTTCCGTCCATTTGCATGAACTTCTTTATGCACTACCAGCTCCTTGGGTTGGATCAGTGGCGGGTAATTGCCTTTGTTGTGCTGCTTGTGGTCTTACCTCTGTTAAATTCTGATGACTTCTTCATAAAATTCAAGCTCCCTGGATTGGCCAAACCAATGCTGCAGTACGCATTTTTTGTTTACTGAAATGTATTTTTTATTATCTTTTGATCGGCAACTAAAGTTTAATATTCAGCATTCAAGTTCTTAATACATGATATACTTTCAGTCCCAACTATTTGCATGATATGTTGCTTCACCATTTGTGAACATTAGTTTAGACCTAACAACTGTTTTGTGCACATATATACACGAGTCTTCATTTAGACAACAAGGTTCTTTGTTTTCTTGTCTCTTTTGCTGCAAAATGGAATGCTAAAAAAACACTTGCTGATGTTTCTTTCTGGTTGTAGGAGAGGCCTAAATGGATGAAAATCAGCTCGCTTGATGAATTAAAGACGAAAGTTGGACATGTCATTGTCATGATTCTTCTTGTGAAGATGTTTGAGAGGAGCAAGATGGTGACTATAGCCACTGGTCTGGATTTATTAAGCTACTCCGTATGTATTTTCTTATCTTCTGCTTCCTTGTACATCCTTCATAATTTGCACAAGTCAGACTAAACTGTCAAACAAAAATATGTTCTGATAACATGTAAAAATTGAAATTATTAATGGAGATCTTGGAAGGAAACTTGTTTGCGTCTAAGGAGTGAATCTGCCAAACTCTAAGGAAAGAATAACTCTACAGACCCAGACATATCCACCCAGAAAATTTTGAGTGGGTGGTTGTGATAGAGATTAAATTTGTGTACTGTGAGGTTCATATGTAGCATAAATTTGAATCACAAAATGATAATTCTAGATAATTTTTGAATAGTTAAGTCTAGGTTTGTAGTATTACCGAGCACTATGAGAGTTGAGCTAAAAAAATCAACTCATTAGTTAAAAAATAACTTTACAAAAATGTTAATGTTAAAAAAGTTAGTTTATTTGACACATTTTTTTTTTTTTTTTTCCCGGGAGAAATAGGACACAATTTTTGGACTTTCTAATGACTTTTCAAGGTTGCTATAGTGAATTTTTTTGATAAAAAATGGGTTTACTAAACGAGCTAAGGTCTTTATTTTTATTTTTATTTTTTTATATATTTATATTTATTTTTTTTAACAAAATAAACTTTATTTTAACTAAAAAGTTAACTTTTAAGCCACAACCAAACACTATTTTGTTTGCAATTGCAATTTTTTTCTTTTTTAGGTACCACAGTGCGTGCAAGTGTTGTCCGGGCATGATTCGAATGGGCTCTATAGAACGGGGTGTTTTTTTTCTGGGGGGTATGTTTTCACAGATTTTCCATACTTCAAATGCTAAATGTATTCCTAAATAATGCAATGTGCTCGTGGAAACATAGCTATGCAAATAACAGAGTGATATTTGATATGTTTGTACTTGCATTGATTGTGTTAGTCTCGAAGCTGCAACAACACTCTTGGACAGAGCCTCATCCATTACAAACCAAATCAAGCTTCTGGACACCTGAATCCCCAATTTTTGTCACACTTGAAAGTGTCCTTTTTTGCAATCAATTTGATTGCTTTTTACTTATTCTCACCCTCCATAATGTTTTAACAAACTTCCATATCAAAGTTGTCGCATTGAATGAACATATTTTTTCGCTTTCAAATATGTACATTTATGTTATCAATTATTTTCCATTAGACGGGGGAAGGCCAAATTACACAGTAGAAGAAGCTTACAAACCAATTAGAGAAATATAGGAAGAACGAAACGACTTCAACTTGAAACTAATTTCTTGAGCAATATCGCACAGATTTCTTCCCTGAAACATCTAATATTACTGTGAACATTAAAGCATCGCTTTGTGGATAAATTGTTCGACAATCTTACGTGTACTGTGTGTGAAAATCTGAATTTGGAAACAGCATTGGAAAAATAATGAAAATTGAAACGAAAAAAAAGAGAAGGAAATACTTATAGACATAATGTAAAAATTCTATACTTTTAATTTAGAATTGTGTTCGACGCAATTTCTTCAAGACAAATTTGTCTCGCTACAATGCTCATGAGATTATTGGACGTTCAACTACCAATATACAATGATCAAAACTTATAAAACAACCTTTTAAAAATACTTCCACCCGATACTTCAAATCTAATGTGACACTCCAACAGTCATATTTTGACATCAAGTATCAATTCTATCCGGTATGTCAAAAATTGATGTGACTTTTGATATCACTGATGTGACTTTTGATATCATCTCTTCATGTCAATTTTGACATGAAGACCCCTGATGCTTTTAAATTTTTTTTTTTTTTTTTTTTCAATTAAAGCATCCAACAACACAATTTGTGATAGATTGTGGATGTCAATCAGCCCACATTATGCCATGACTTTTCTTTTTCTTTACCAATGGAGTATTCTTTGAAAACGGCAATATTTTTTTTTTTAATTTTAATTCAAAATCAGCAACCTGTATGTCTTTATTACCGTTGTAAACAAAAAAAGAAAATTCAATTTATTTTATTATCTATACATTATTTTATAAATATAGCATTTTTATAAATGTAAAATGCTATTTAAATGGCATCAAATCTCTTTTAAAAATAAATTTATTTTAATTAGTAAAATAAAGGGGAAATTATTGGAAACTCCCATTTTGGAGAGTTGTAGTCTGCCAAGTCCCATTATAAAATTAATAGACGTTCAAGTCCTATTTTTTTTGGTAATGTGATCCGAAGGATCCCATTATGTAATTATGGAATGATTTTTCTGACTAAGAGCATCTCCAACGGTAGTAGGCATTTTACCTATCTAAATATTACTATAAAGTATATATTTTATTTTGCCTATCAACTGTTTTATGTTTTTACTCCAACCATGCTCTTTATTTTAGCTATTTATCCAAATACTATTAATTTTATAGAATGTCACGTCAACAACAAAGATGGAGGGAATGATCCTAATGATTGAATATATTTTGCCTAGCGTTGAAGGCTAGCTACATGTAGCTAGTGAATATGAGTTGAGCCAAAATACCTAATCATATGCCTAGTGCATTGGAATTGAAAAAAGTGAATCACACTAGGCATTTTAACTAACAAGTATTATATGCCTAGTGCATTGGAGATGCTCAATGTACCTTTTTTTTTGTGGTTGAAACGTGTGCGTCATAAATAACGTGGACACCCCTACATACATTACTAAACCCAAAAAAGTTATAGTAAGCTTTCCCAAACGTTACATACACCCACATCATAAATGTGCTTTTCCCAAACGTTACATACACTTTTTTTGTGTGGTTAAAACGTGTGGGTCATAAATAACGTGGACACCCCTACACACACTACTAAATCTAAAAAAAAACTATAGTAAGCTTTTCCCAAACGTTACATACACCCACATCATAAAAAAGCTATAGTAAGTTTTTCCCAAACGTTACATACACCCACATCATAAATGTTTTTCCAAACGTTACATACACCTACATCATAACATCATAAAAAAGCTATAGTAAGCTTTTCTCAAACGTTACATACACCCACATCATAAATGTTTTTCCAAACGTTACATACACTCACATTATTCAAAAATAATATCACCAAACCCAAAATAGTAAGTTCATGGGCAAAACTGTCCACCCCCAAATAATAGGACCTTTGGGTGTACAAAATTAAATATGGGACTGATTAGATTACAATCCCATCTTTTAGGATTTATGGGTCAATTCTCCTAAAATAAAAGAGTTTAAGTTTTAAAAATAATATAATAATAGATTTAATATATCTAGTGGGGAGCTTCTATTGCCACCCAAGACTTCAAAAAAAATTGAGGGGACTTACGAGTAGGTCTTAATAGGTGGATTTATTGTCCAATAGGTCCTATGATAATTAATGACGTTTTTCATTAAACACTATTAAAAAATGTTACTAATTGTTAATTTTCACCGACAATTTGAAAATTTTGTCACAAAAAAGTCACTAATTATAAATTTTAGCGATAATTTAAAAAAATCGTTACAAAAAAAGTGTCACGCACCAAAATTTTAATTACTCAGAACATTACCAAAAGCCTTTAATTTAGGCCCATTTTTTTTTTCTTTTTACAAATATCTATTATCCTTGAGTAATAGAAACATAATAATACATGTTCTCTCCCATAATGAAAACCACAATAGCAATAATACATGCCAAGCTCCCGCTGCGAAACTACAAATAGATAATTACAAATATCAGGATACATCATTCATTTCCTTCACATCTACAATGAAATTACACATAAGAGATTCATGGACTTTTGACACTTCAACTAATGAATCTGAATTCTCTTCCTGAAAAAAAAAATAAAACAACGAGGGATGAGCACTAATGCCCAGTAGGAGATCTCATAGTTCTAAAGCAATAACTATCACATAGATAGAAATGATCATACATGTAGGATGATACCATATAGTAAGGTGATGTTTTGTAAGTTCAAAATATTATACGTAGAGTATCTTTTTCTTAAAATTTCATTTGAATATTTAAGAAAACTCCCTGCCATAAATCTTATCTCTCATCATTAGGAAGCCATAATTTCTCTTTGAAACAAATACATTTAAGAAAGAACATAATTTTAAATTTATTAACCCAATTCTAAATTATTCCTCATTTCATTTCCATTTTAATATTCCTCATTCCATTTCCGTTTTTTCCTCATACTATTTCCAATTACTATGACTCCACAACATTAAAAATCCAAATTTCCTTTATATTCAAAAACACGATCATCATACACTCAACTCCCACTTGTCTAACAATTACCTCACATTAGTGTTTGCATTATCAATTAAGGTTCAAACATAATACAAGAATAACAAACCCTTTTTAATTCAATTTCTCAATTATTTACAAAATAAAACTCATAATCTTCTCTTATAGTCACAAGCAATCCAGCGAGTTCATCATCACCGACCCCTCATCCAATTACTATTTCATTTTTCCATTCTTTCATATCAAAATTGGGTCCATTAACAAGTCATTTTCATGAGTCACACGCTTTACCAGTCACAAGCCGGAAAGAATGCGGAACCTCAACATACCACACGCTTTACCGAGTGTTACTCCGGAATGAAGGCGGAACCTATTTCAAGCACCACGCTTTGCCGGCTCAAAATACGGCGGGAAACGGACCTCAAGATAACACCACAATCCATCATTATGATTAGTGAGCAATGCCAACACATCTTCCATTATTCCCGTACACATTCGTTCCACACACATCCACCATATGTTAAAATTCCATTTACATAACAAGTACACAATATGTTCCTCTACTTTCTCTATTGTCTATCAAATCATTCATTGTTTTTGTTACGAAAATATAACAGTACATCCATAGAGGCATAAAGATTCATCTTTAAAGTGTTCACAATTTCTTAGGTTCAAACTATTTCTTTACTTTTCTATATTACTATCAAGTCTTCAAATTCAATTTTCACAACACATTGATTATCAATTACTACCCAAGGCTACAAATTAAATCTCCAACATTAATTTCTTTGATACAACTCCTTCATATAACATCGTCATATTTCACAATCTCCCATTTATCATTACTCACACTCATCTTAACCCAACCTAGACTTAACACAATTTAACATAACTCAATGCAATTCAACGTAACACAATA